CCCCCCCCAGCCTCCACCACTGATCTCATGTGTGAGCTGAACAAACAGACTGCTGCTCTTTGCCTTCAATAATGAATACTGAATAAATAAATTTGGTGAAGGTTTCCCCTGTTTGGCACACCTTAAATCTTAGTTTTCTTGAATGGAGTTTGGTGTGTTGAGCTGCAAAACCACTTATATTTTCATTTATCTTGATTTCAACCTTTAATGGAGAAAGTTAAATACTAATTATTATTGATCAAAGAGTGAAATTACAGACACATCTCTGTCTGATTAGAAACTCAGCAGCTCCCTCCAGTGGGCAAACTTATTAATGACACTGCTGATATTATTTCACACTATCACACATTTATTTTTATACATATGAACCTGAGAATTGAATTTCTGTGTAACAAAATATTTTATTCTGCCAAACATAAACTATTATTAGTTAAATACTGTGACATCAATTTGAACTACAGCTGAGTGAATTGGAGAAATTAAGTTTCATTTGGGTAAACTGAAATATTGTACATTAATGTTGATTAAATAAAATAGACAGTACTGGTCAGTACTTGGTTCGACTCCCATCATTGGCTGGTCCCTGGATCCATGGTCCTGTGGTTGGGGTGTGGTTAACTTCACTTGGTCTTTTCTTTTGGTTGGAAATGTGTTGGTTCACCAAAGGAAGCAAGGCAAGGCTTCTCTTTGGATGTTGATCCTCATAAGGTTTGAACCTACAACCTAAGAACGTCAGTCTCCATCCTGCTGAGCTACTGGATCAGACAGTGGAACTCTGGTTCTTAGAGACTTCAGTCTTCGTCTGGGTGGTCACACATTAAAACTTAATGTGTGCCTTGAGGATCGAACCTTTAACCTAAAACCAGTGTTCTTACAGCCTTGAGCCACTTAGTCCAACACGCTGTAGCTCACCTTCTTGAAGCTCTTCGGTCTCTCCTTCAGACAGCAGACCAATTATTATAGACTACATTATAGTATTACATTAATCTAGAAATATAACACTGTTTGCTGCTTTGAAGGTTTTTACTAAATAAAGTGATAAAAACCCTCTAATTCTCTATTTCTTATCCATATATTCGTATTAAATCCTGTTCAACAACCTTCTGGGTTCGTGCTCTTCCACCTTCCTCTCCCCGGGGGTCAGTTCATTAAAACAAATGTTAATTATATTTATCAGATAAAGTTAGTCGAAATAAAAAGTCCAATAACTCTAAATTCTTTATTTTCAAGATTAACTGAATTAACTCTTTGCTTCGGTTACATGTGAAACAGTTTATCCAACCTTTTTAACAGGTTTATGAAGCTCATTACTGAACAGTTACTCATCGTTTAAAGTAATACATTCCCACTGTGAATCCATTTGTCTTCCTGAATCAGAAAATGGTCGCGGGACAGATCCGGTGTTGTGATTGAGTTTTACTGATTTAAGGATGTGGTGCTCTGATGGCAAACGGATGATGTTCCCAGTGCCGGCCGTTTACGCCCAATGCGAGAATGACGAGAACTTTAAGCTAAGAACAAATAGCTAGTACTCACTAGCTGCTGTACGCTCGGGGGGGGGGGGGGGGTCGTAGTGATTTCACAACTTTTATTGTCCACCCCCTGGTCAAGCTCAACCAGAGGTGGAACTGCGTCTGTTGGAGAAACTACAGCGCTGCACAACTCACGAAAAACGTCCTAAAAGTTATTTTTCGTTTGATTAAACACTAGTGATTAACTTATGAATATTATATTACATTAATGATACACACTGGACCTTTTAATAAAGAATCTGTATTCACCCACTCAATACGTGGGGGGGGGGGCAGACTTTGCACCTCTGGGTCCAGGATGAAAACAGCAGCACAGCAGTCAACTCTCTGATGAAATCAACTATGTGGCTGAGACTCTTCTTCACCTTCGTCTTCGGCTCCTGCGGCTGCCGGGCGGCGTCAGGTGAGGAAAAGCAGTAAACGTTGCTTTAAGTAGGGAGGGCCAATGAAAGTAAGGTTGTAACTAATTCTTTTTTGGGGGAGTAACTGTAATATAATCACTGAAAAGTATTAGTAATTAGTTACACTATTAGTTACTGGTGAAAGCAATATTATTACTAGTAATCCCTTACAGCCCAACACTTTACTCGATGATTGCACGAGATTGACTGACCGCTCTCTGGAAATGAGTTTGTGCTGCATATTTTGCAGAGGAGGAGGTATCGAGCTGTGAACAACAAAGATGAAATAAATAGAAACTGATTGAATGTTTTTGTGAGTTATGATGTCAGTGTGCGAATATACGACAGCTTTCAGGGGAGACAAAAAGAGAAATCACAGAGTTATTCTTTTAAATATCCAAAAAACTTAAACTCCATTTAAAAATCTGCCATTTTAATACTAACATGAATGCTGCCAAGACAGCTGATCTAAAGCATTCTGTTGAACTTCCTGTTTGGTAGTCTTTCTGGATCCAGATCAAGCCCATGGCATCCTGGTCCGGACTCGGAGGTATAACTCCGGCTGGCTGGAGGAGCTCCAGATGGGAGATCTGAAGAGGGAGTGTCTGGAGGAGAAATGCTCCTACGAGGAGGCCCGGGAGGTGTTCGAACACACCGAGACCACGGTCAGAGCTGGTTTCTTTTCACTGGGTTATGTTTTCTTTCATTTAGGGATTTAATAATAATGTCAGTCTGACGTTTCTGTTTCCTCAGAACGAATTCTGGAAAATATACAACAGTAAGTAACCACACGTTTTCTTCTAATTACAGCTTCAATCTCATACCGGTATAAACGCTGGACCTCACTTCTTTAGGGATTGCTGCGGCCTTAAATGTGTGATTTTACAGAAGTGATGCATGTTGCAATGTTTTTTTGCATTTTTTTGCAATGAAATTGTGGGAGGAAGAGAAAATCACAAAAATAGCAACTTTGTTCCAGTAAGAATAAAATCTCTAATAGTTTGGAGGCGTACATGAAATAAGGTCAGTATTCTTGTCCTGTAGTCCCAGACAGCTGTAAGTCGAACCCCTGCCTGAACGGCGGCAGCTGCTCCACCCAGGGTTCATCCTACACCTGCTACTGCCTGCCAGAGTTCAGCGGACTCAACTGTGAGCTCGGTGAGCAACAGACAAAAACACACTGATCCTTACTCAAGTGAAAGTAGCAATACCAAAATGTAAACATCCGAGTAGAAGTCCAAATGTTACTGTTTACTGAGCTTTCAATTTGTTGTTAAGTAATGTGTAAATAAACTTGTATACAGATGACACACCGCTGTATGTCTGTAAAATGTGTTGATCTCATTTAAGTAAATGAAGACCTGCCTGGACTCTCTCAAATGAAATTAATTTAAATAAATCGTTACTTACTGTTAGTTAAAATATCAATAGTAAAAGAACAGTATTTTGCAAACTGCATTAGTAAAATGTTCTAACTTCAGATTATATTTTATTCAGGCAAAATTCCTTTTTAATACTAAAGTATTGAGAAGTTTGACTTGTTTACTTGTTCTGTTTTGTATCATTACCAGAGATTCAGGTATTGTTTTAACACCATTATTGAAAGTGGACAAACAGCAACTTTACTGTATTGTTGTTGTTTTCAGAGTACCTGGACGTTCCCGACACCTGCCTGCTGGAGAACGGAGGTTGTGACCATTTCTGTGACGAAGAGGCGGGAGGACGTAGTCTAAACTGCTCGTGTGCAGATGGCTACTTCCTGGACGTTGACGGGCGGAGCTGTGTAGCAAATGGTGGGAGGACGGTCTGAAACATTGTGAAAATATTTTGTATTTTTCATCATCATCCAGATCTGAAGCACATTTCTGCCACAAAAAAATGAAATTACATAAATCATAAATATCTATATTCAATGAATATCTATTTTTCCTCATTTCTGGCTTTACCACAACAACATATCTCATAACTGACTAATGAAGAATTTTTTCTTTGCATCTTAAATCTTTTACTTTTTATATTTATATTTAATCTTCTCTACTCTGATGAATAACTTAAAGTTTTTGTAGTAATATTTAACCTGAAAAGCCAAACATTTGATTTAGTATTTTTTAATAATTTTCCATCCATTTTTGTCTGGTACTATTGTCTAAGTGCTTAATCATAAAGTTTATGATTAATTCCTGCAGCACTCTATTCAGAAATTGATGTTTTTGAGTCAATCTGACTGAAGAAGGAATCTCAAAAACTATTCAGATGTCTTAAATTTGAGCATATGAGAGCTTCATTTTCACAGAAACTTCAGTTTTTATGTCTTTTTGTCAGACTTCATTGATGCTTTTGCAGGAAATCTCCCTCTCTGCTCTACAGGGGCCCCAACAACTCACCTTTAGACTCCCCTCACACTGACCCCTTAACCTTATTTATAGTGCAACTGTGCCCCAATGCACTGTTAAAAACTACTGTGTGTCCAACAGCGTTCAACAAGGACAAACATTTCTCCAGTTTTAAGAATCCGTAACGAAATCAGCGTCATATTCTGCTGGTTTCATTGAAAATTGAAAAAGTTTTTTGTGGTTGGCCGTCGCCAAGGTCTTGCTCATGGTGGTACTGTTGGGTCTCTGTAAATGTTAAATGGAGTTCGGTCTAGACCTGCTCTATTTGAAAAGTGTCCTGAGATTAACTTTGTTATAAATTGGTGCCTTATAGCAAATAAAATTTAATTGAAAATTGAATTGAATTGGTTTCAGAGTCGGTAGTGTGCGGCATGGTCCCCATCCTGGAGGGGGAAAACAAAGCCAATCAGCTCGACCCTCGAGCTCGAATTGTCGGAGGAACCGAATGCCCCAAAGGTGAATGCCCCTGGCAGGTACGCTGATGCTACAGGAACTGTGTGTAGTTTTGTAGTCTCATTTTTCACTCCAGTTTCAGTCATGAGATTCAGTTAATGGACTCTGACCTCTGAAATTCAGAAGATTCCACTAGAAGATTCTAGTGGAAATCCCGACATTAAAAAGGCCCTCATAATATGTGAGTAAATGTTTCTTAAGGTTTTGCTGGTGTACAAAGGCAAAGGTTTCTGTGGAGGAGTGATTTATAAACCCACATGGATCCTCACAGCATCTCACTGCCTGGAGGACACCGACGCTCAGTTCCTGAAGGTGGTCGCAGGTATGAATCCCTCCGTTCACAGCAAACGCCTTCATCTGACATGTGACCATACTCATCTGCGTTTTGTGTTCCTGACATGAATTTGTGGATCCTGCTCTTTGTCTGCCAGGTGAACACAACACGGTGGTCAACGAGGGCACGGAGCAGCTCATCCAGGTTGCCGAGATCATCATGCACGAGAACTACGAGACACGCACCGCCAACAACGACATCGCCCTCCTTCGCCTGGCGTCGCCCATCACCTACACCACTTACGCCGTCCCGGCCTGCCTGCCGACGCGGCCCCTGGCCGAGCGCGACCTCTGGGCCGTCAGCCTGCACACGGTGAGCGGCTGGGGCAGGAGGAGCGAGAACGGACCCACCTCACACCTCCTGCGGCGTCTGAAAGTGCCGCGGATCCGGACCCAGCAGTGTGTGGAGGAGAGTGGCGTGGTGCTCTCCAAGAACATGTTCTGCGCCGGGTACATCGAGGGCCAGCAGGACTCGTGTAAAGGCGACAGTGGTGGACCCCTGGTGACAGAGTACAAAGGGACGGTGTTCCTGCTGGGCATCGTCAGCTGGGGGAAGGGTTGCGCACGACCTGGCAACTACGGCATCTACACTCGAGTGTCCAACTACCTGGAGTGGATCCACAACCGAACAATGCCGCCGCCACCGCCGCCAGCTCAGCCAACAAACAACACCACGACTTCCTCACACAACGTGAATGCAAGGGCGGAGCTACAACATTTACTGCAGTCAAACAGTTCACAGTGGTAAAGCTTGTTCAAGTACACTGCAATGTTATGTCTTATTTCAACTCAAAAACACTTTTGAGGCAGTTTTTACAGACTAGTTTACAGAAAGTGACTGAGTATTTTTTACTGGATATTTTGTTTTAAGCACAAATAAACAGAAAATAAAGGCAGTGTCACACTGTAATGTGATAAGAGATTTGAACTCAGACACATTGTACATAGTACAGTGCAGTGTAACTTATAAAAGCTGCTTCATCAACAATCTTTGAACAAATTAGTTTGTTATACTTAACATTTTAGAGTTAAAATAATCACATTACAGTGTATCAAAGAAAAAGGACAAAATACCCAAAGTCAACCACATCGGTTAGGAAGGCGCTCTGAACCGAGATAAACCGCCGTTATGACATCACAACAACAACTTGGACTGTTTTTGTCTCAATATAACACAATGTGATTGTTTACTGCTTAAATATTGCTGTCACTGTCCTGTCGAGGTGTCTTCTAATGTAACGTATCTGAAATAATAAATAGAACAAAATATAATTCAAATGTAATTATAATTATTTGAATGTGTCTTATAATCTTTTGTATGAATAAAACATGAAATATTTATTGTTTCAGTTTACTACAGTTTGTATAGATTATGGAATTGCTCATATATATATTAATAATCAATCATAGTATAAATCAGACTGAATGTACAGTCATTGAATGAGTCAACTCGTTTGCTTACAGCTTTAAGTCTGTTTGCTAATTTCACAACTGTGTAAAACCCTCATTCCTGCACACACAGCGCAGTGTTATCTGTATGTATCCGAGTACTTCTACTTTACTGGAGTATTTTCTTTCAATGCAACAAATACTTCTACTCCAGATTTTACACATATTCATACGTCAGTCATTTTTCTTTAACTACTCATACTGTAACTACATGAAGCTGAGAAAACATTATTGTTTTTTCACTGAACTGCAGATAATCAATCAATCAACAGGAAGTCAAATGCAAGGCAGAGTGGAGATGTGTTTACTGACCTGGTTAAAACTGACTCAGAGGGTCAGAGGCTCGGTGGGCGTGGACTAAAAGAGCCCCACGTCTCCTACAAACACACTTTGTCCTCGTTCTGCTGAGACATTGAACACAACATGCTGCTGAGGAGCTGCTGCGCCGTCTGGTCACTGTCAGCCATCGCTGCTGCTGCAGGTTGGTTTGTTCTGCTGAAACATTAAGTTAGCATGTTAGTAACTCAAGTCTTTAAATAAACTAATGATGAGTCATGATAACTTACTTTTATTCTTCAGAAAAACTTTTTAGAACGTTTAAACATTTGTATTTTTCTGCTTTTGTGCTCAGTGAAAAACTAATTTAACATTTTCAAACGCAACTGTTACTACTGTTACTATAAAAAAAATCAGCTTTAAAACAATTACTGAAATGCAGATTTGTTTTGCTTCTAAAACTCAGAAATGTCATGTAATGTAAGTTTTCCTTTAATCTATAGCTTGAAGGCTGGGGGGTATAAGTCTTCTAGCTAAGAGAGCTATCATATTATTTGCTTGGCGCCTACTTCAAACATTACAGTAACAACAGAAGGTTCTATGGATACTTCTAAAAACAAGCATTGAGTTTCAAACTGGAGTCCAGAAGAGAGCCGGGTGGTTGACGGACGCTGGTATAAAACTACAAAGTTGCAAGAATCTAAAAAAGGTGACAGCGGGGGAGGTTAAACTTTAACATTTGCTGATCAAAGCATATGACAGTTTTTTAGTTTATTTCAAAACCTAAAAGTTAGAATTTCGACTAATTCTGTTCAGAAAAATGTCCTTTGTTTGTTGCAAAGGTTTTCTGGACTGTCCAGTTTTTACAGCGTAATAAATGATGCCGGTTTGTTTCAGTGTTTGTAGAGAAGCACGAGGCCAACGGCGTGCTGCAAAGATGGCGGCGAGCGAACAGCGGCTTCCTGGAGGAGCTAAAACAAGGAAACCTGGAGAGAGAATGCATTGAGGAGATCTGCAACTACGAGGAGGCGCGAGAAGTTTTCGAGGACGAAGACAAGACGGTCAGAGTTCTTCCCCTCGTAGAACCCTCGAACTTTACTCAAAATTACAACCAAACTTTAGTCGCTGCGAAAAAACCCTGAAAGTCTGGTTACAGGTACAGACTTTTATTTATGGACAATGTGGCTGTTATTCTTAAACACTGTACAAAGTTAGCAGTTTGTATATAATATATCGCGACTGAAGAACTTTAGCTTTAGCTCTTTTCCTGAATGATGACTGAACAGTTTTCTGTTGGTTCCTCTTTGCAGAAGCAGTTCTGGCTGACGTACGAACGTAAGTAATTATTTTTAGTATTTTAATCTGAGCGATATCAGGTAGGTAGTTGACAGGGTCCATATTGTTTTGGTCCAAAAGTTTTATTTTATTGTCGAGCAGTATATTGATTTGTTCCGATATTGATTGATCAGTATCTTTCTGAAGCCTGTGATCAACTGTTATTGATGCTCATTCTTCTGTCGTCTGTTGAACAAAAACCATCAATCACTCAGCTGATCCTTTATATACTAATTATAAAACATTTAGTTCTCTTATCTTTGTGTTTTGGTGAATGATTATCATGTTATATATTGACGATTAATGACATTAAAACTTCCATATGTGAGATTCTGCAGCATTTTATGCTTCTGTGGGAATCAGCAGTGAGTGAACGGGTTGTAACGTAGCGACTTATCTTCATATGTTAATATATCTTCATTGATAGTAACGTTATTCTAAATACGATTGTCAGTTATTTTACAGCGCTCAGTCAACCGGACGCTGACTGCAGTTCACTGAACGGCCACTGGTGTCAATATTTTACAGTTTATGACAGTTACATATAGTAAGATTAAAAATAATAATAATAAGTGTTATGATTTAATTTTTTTATCAGGTCGTGACCCCTGCTTGGATAACCCGTGTCAAAACAACGCCACATGTATCTACATGAGGACGTCCTACCAGTGTTTATGTCCTGAGGGCTTTGATGGACAATACTGTGAGACAGGTAAGAAAAAAACTAAGAATTTAAATGACCCAACTCACGTTTTACAGCAGCTGGAGCCAGAATCTGGACTTCACACTTGTCCTACATATTATGTTATTTATAATATGAATGTATATTAATACTGTGTAATGTGTAATAATGTTACCCTTTCTTTCCTCAGTGGTAGAAGACTTACTGAAGTGTCTATACCAGAACGGACACTGTGAGCATTTCTGCGACGGCTCGGGTGAGCGCAGTAAATGTTCCTGCGCTGACGGATACAAACTGGGAGCGAACGGACGCCAATGTATCGCTCAGGGTAAAAACTCTACCTCACAACTGCTTCTTTAAAGCAGCGATGCCTTTACTGTGACACTGCGAGTATTACACCAACCCATGATCACATTAATAAACCCATGAGCTTTTTGTATCCTAAAAAAGGACTCGAAATGATTAATCAATTATTAAAATGGTTGACAATTAATCGACTAATTGTTGCAGCTCTAAACATTAACAATATAGTCTCATATTTAGGTGTCAGGTGGGGAAGATTCAGCCCTGATCTGCCCCCTAGTGGACATATTGTTTAATCCTCAAATTACACATCAAATACATAATCAGTGACATTCACATCATAGCTGTCGACACCGACGGGACGTTACAGTCACACCGGTTCTGTAGCGCTCAGAGTGAAACTGTGTGTGCTTCCTTACAGTGGAGTATCCGTGTGGTCGGCTGGCTCCACAGAAAACGGACCTGAACCAGAGTGTCGTGGGTCAGACCCGGCTGGTGGGAGGTAACCACTGCCCCAAAGGAGCGTGTCCTTGGCAGGTAAACACCGCTGTACCACTGCTGGGGGTATTATAAAGGGTGCATCCTCTGGAGAGTTTGACTGCTTGAGTTCAATTTCGAGGTGCGAAAGAAGAAGTCAAGTCATCAGGATTCATCCTGTTAATCTGAAATATACACAGATAATTCTCCATCCATATATCTATCGATCGATCAGGTTCTGGTTCAGTTACATGGAGACAGCCACTGTGGAGGTGTTCTAATCAATCCGGACTGGGTCGTCACCGCTGCCCACTGTATCCACGGCAACAACCCCCAAAACCTCACTGTGGTGGCAGGTAACTAATCAGCGCTTTGTAATCAGTTACATTATTGTTACTTTGATGTCTCATTAACGGTTTCTCCTCCGTTACCAGGGGAACACAACTTGGACGTGGAAGAGGGCACAGAACAGAGGATACCTGTTGCCGTGGCGATCGCCCATGAAGGCTACGTCCCGGAGACCGGTGACAGCGATGTCGCCTTGCTGAAACTGAATCGGTCCGTCACCTTGAACCGCCACGCCATCCCCATCTGCCTGCCGACCGCAGACTTTGCCCTGCAGGAGCTCCTGCTGACCCGCTACCACACCGTGTCCGGCTGGGGCAAGAAGACCACCGGGGGCAACAAGGAGCCCGGTGCCACGCACGCCGCCCCGTTGTCCCCCATCCTCCGCAAACTTTCCGTCCCAATCATCCAGAACTCCCAGTGCTCAGACAGGGCCCAGTTCAACTTCACCCACAACATGCTGTGCGCGGGATACCTGGAGGGTGGTCAGCAGAGCTGCCGCGGTGACGACGGGAGCCCGCTGGTCACGCTCTACGGCTCCACCCACTTCCTGACGGGCGTGGTGGGCTGGGGGCGGGGCTGTTCACACCCGGGGTATTACGGGGTGTACGCCAACATGGCCAACTTTGTGGAGTGGGTGCAGAGCATCATGACGTCAGCAGCCAATGAGAATACACCGGAGAGCGCTGCAGCGTCGACTTCAGACTTACTGCAGCAGAAACTTGTTTAATAAAAGATCATTTTTAGGAAGCAACAACTGTTTTTGTTTTTACAGTTTAATTCTTTGTGTCATGAAACATAAGCAGGACGTTTAAGTGCTGTAATTCTCCAGTTTTATCGTCGGGTTGGATAATGATTTACTTTTTATTTATGATCAAGGGTGACGTATAATGTATCGGCTGTAATGTAGAAATAAATAAATAAACAACATTGGTCGGATCTCAAATATATATATATATAAATATATTAAATATTTCCAAGTCAAGGCCAAATTTACATGCGAGATATTCGTACGATTCCCATCAAATTAAGAGAAGTACATTACACTGACTGCATTTAATAAAAACCCCACTGAACATCTCAACATCTGTATCTTATGTACAGAAAGGATCACTTTACAAACTACAGTTAGAAGCTGAGGATGTGCAACTCTAATATCTTAAAGCATGTCACTGAACGTCATAACAAGAACAATAAATTATATATATATATATACAAAATCATAATAATCAACATTCAAGAAACATTTTACATTATTTGATGGGGGGCGATGGCCTTACTTCCTACTTCTACAGTTTGTTTGACACTTCTGAGCCACAGTACAGACGTTTTTTGTTTCTGCTGCATTGTGGGACGACAGATCCAGGTGAGTTTGTGTATAAATTAACGTTTTTAACAGGTCAAAAGAGCAGCGTTAACTAAAATACATTTCTGAGGTACTTAGTGGAGTCACTTTGCAGGTTTTACAAACCTTTAATGAGCATATAAAATACAAAGTAATGTTAAATAGTGTATAAAACAACAAAATATTATATATGTTGCATAATGAGAATTTAATGAGGATAATCCTAATTTTCAATGCAGGACTTCTACTTGTAGGAGAGGACCTTTAAATACTCTTATTGCTACTTTTACTTGAGTAAAATGTCCGAATACTACAGTTCAGAGTAAATATTGATCAGTTTGGACATCCGCCACCAGGCCCCCCGAGCTGATTGGCTGCAGGGCGGGAAGTGGAGCAGTAAAACGAGAGCCGTACCTGTCGACCTCACCGATGACTCCTCATTTACTGTAAACGTCTACCCCTCCTCCCCCCTGTGGAGCGCTGCCAAAAGAATTCCCCCTCCTCCCTGTACCAGTGCGTACGTGTGAGAGATCCTCCCACGGTCAGTATCTTCCTCTTCATGCAACATCACGTTTTCAGTCACGTTTTGTTGTTTTAAGATGGAAACGCTGAGCAGACGATATAAAGGAAGCTACAGGAGACGATATTATGCCATAAGAATCCAAAAACCAAAAGATAAATCCAGAAGCTTTATCTGCCGAGGTCACCTCCTTCTGGGCAGCCAGATTTAACAAAAAGCTCTTTAATGGGTCCAAGATGTGGAGATTGTCCCCAAAAACAGCTTCAGTTTGTCTGTAAGAAGGCTTCATCAGAAACATCGGTTTTATTTTTATATTTAAATCCCCACCCCTTTTTGCTCTGTGCTCCAATCACAGTCATGGAGCTTTGAATATGTTCGCTATTGTTAACTAAAGCTGTCAAATAAAAACAAGTACGAACTAGAATATTTACAGTAAAAGTAAACTAATAACTTTATGGAAAACCAGATCAACGTCTAACTCCATCCAGCCATCACTCTGAAGGTTTCTGCTTGGACGTTTGTTCCAGTAATGCACCCTGGGACTTGTAGTCTGTGCAGAAAATATGACGTTAAGCTCCGCCCGGTCGATCAGGCGCTCCCCCCCCCCTATCCTCCCCTCTCTCTCTCTCTCTCTACACAACAGGTCACTGCCTCATCTACCCCTCTTCTCTCCTCTCCCCTCAGACTCCATTACTTTCTACTCGGCACAGGAGTTGTAAGCCGAGCTCACATCCATCGGGCATGTTTTGGTTTGCCGACTGTCCTTGCCTGCTGCTCTCCACCGTGCCGCCGTCACGAGGTACGTTTCTAAAAATCTGAACTTTCAGAGTGAAGAGGAGGAATATGGAGTTAAAGCAGGGGGGAAAGTTGTGTTGAGAGGGTGTTTTGGGAGGTGGTGGGACGTGGAGGGGGGGTTGTGTGTTGATTGGCGGCTGGCAGGTGACACTTGACCCCGTCCTGTTTTGTGTGTTTAGTATGTTGTGTGTCTTACAGATTTTAGATTTGTGATGATTGACAGCTCTTTCCTTCACTCAGACACCAACATTACATCTCATTGGACAAAGAAACCACTTGCTTGGCCGTGATTGGTCCTTTTTCTGTTTTCAAACTAGAAACTTCCTTGTTAATGAAAACTTTTCAGATGCGAGAAAAGGTGGAAGGAGCTTGAAGAAGCTTTCTTTAAAAGATGAAGTTATTTATAAAAGTGCTACTCCACTCTGTGACATCACTTCACACAGCTCACCTGTCAGTTGCGATCATCAGTTCGCAAATTCAACCGATTGCAGTGAATTCTGAGCAACCTTGATAATCTATCCAATCACATTTCCGCAAATGTAACCAATCATTGTCGATTAACGCACAAAACGTTGAGCCATACATCACCAACGGTTACCCCCAAGTTCCAGCGGGCACAGCCCCGCCACTGATCTGGTTGCCTTTGGTAGTCGAGATAGTAGCACAACCTCCCGAACGCCTTGGATAAAAAACACTCAATCAGAGACTAAATAATGTGAACTGACGAGGTACTTCTGTTCTCTCGCCAGTCTTCTTGGATGGCAAGGTGGCCAGTCAGGTGCTGACGCGGCGGAGACGAGCTAACAGCTTTTTTGAGGAGGTTAAACAAGGCAACATGGAGAGGGAGTGTGTGGAGGAGCGCTGCAGCTGGGAGGAGGCGCGAGAGATCTTCGAAAACGCTGAGAAAACTGTATTAACCTCCTGCAACTACACACCCAAACACTGCTGTCTGACAAGTCTTAAAGAAACACATAACTTGAGAACACCCTGTTGGTTAGCTGTTCTACAGTTTAGCTTAGCCTAACTTAAACTACTGTAGCACGAAGACTTGAAGGAGGGTGCTACCGCAGCCAAGTGTAGAAATACAAATGTAAAAACAAGACAGGAACAGCTAGCATCGGAGCTATTTAAAATAATAAAATAATCAATTCAATTAATAAAATGACACTTTAAAATCCACAAAGGCCAAAAAACCTGGACCACACTTTCTTCACTGATACACAGTGATCAGATTTTAAGTTGTTTTGAACTATTTCATCTGTTTTTCTTTTTTCAGAATGAATTCTGGGCCAAATATGTCGGTAAGGCATTTTGTTCTGTGTTGTCGAAATGACTTTGTTCGTATCAGGCGCTGTAATCAGGGAATGCACCCTTAAAGGTCCAGTGTGTAACATTTAGGAGGATTTCTGGTCAGAAATGGATAATAATCACCTGAAAATAATAATCACTGTGTTGTTTGGCACCAAATTACCTTTGTAAAATCTGAAATCTACGAATGAAAGCAGGGACTGAAAGTAATGTATGAATATAAGTAAATTACATCCCATCAAAACTCCCCTGACTGTATGTTATGTTTGTCCTGCAGATGGCGACGCCTGTGAGTCGATGCCCTGTGCAAACAAAGGACTTTGCAAAGACGGAATAGGAAGCTACGACTGCTACTGCCAGGCCGGGTATCAGGGCTTCAACTGTGAAATCGGTACAGAAGCGCAGTCGCTCTGGACAGCTGCTCAGTGTCCTTTATAAAAACGCTAACTGTCCTTTATAAACAGTCTCAAGGAAGAGCTGCTGGTTATGAAGTGTCGTTTACAGGAAACATGGGACTGTCTTGGATAATATGACAATCCTGTAGGTTTTGTTTAAGAGGGACGGATGGTTTGTATTTGGTAAAAGTTTAGTGAAACTCTCGAGGAACTTCAGTCTCCTTTCTCTAATGAATTACCAATTTATGTCCAGTGCCAACGTTCAGTGCCACAGCAGGAGGTAGTGTCCTTTATGTGCTGTATCAAGGTAGAAAGTAAGAGTTGATGTTCTCGTCTGGCGATAGAGCTGAGCTACCTGGTGGGTTGTCTAAACATCCCTCCCTGCTCTTCACATTGTTTCCTATGTCTTTGCAGTTATTCCAGAGCTCTGTGAGAACAAAAATGGCGGTTGCGAACACTTCTGCAATGTGGTCCGAGGAAGCGTTCAGTGCTCCTGCACGGACGGATATTTCCTGGCATCAGATGACAAATCCTGCAACTCCAACAGTGAGACAGACTCAGTATTTAGTATTTTGATTGAGTCCCTTGTTTACAACACACTTCAGACTTTGGGAATTACTCCATGGCACCACCATCCGGACAAAATGTCTACTTGTCCATAAGAAATATCTAATCAGCACTGCTCTACTTCCAGAATCAAATCAACTTACATGGTTCTTTCACTGATTTAACTTTGCACAAATCCTGACCTCTAATCTTCACATGAATTCTTGCAGAGACCTTCAAATGTGGCGCCATCATTACCGAAAACATCCGGACTGTGTTCAGGTATGAGAGGCAAAACACAACAAAGGGGAACGCCACCATGTCGCCCCCCACAGGCACCAACATTAACTCCACCGAGCAGAAGGACGTGCCGGACAATGTTGATTTCTCAGAGACTTCACGTTTTGAGAACAGCAACAACAGCTTTATGTCTGGAAACGAGGTTTTCGAGAAAATTATCACCAAGCAAATGGCAGCTATGACCCGCATTGTTGGCGGAGAGGACTGTCCTCCAGGAGAATGCCCATGGCAGGTAGAGACACTTGGGGTCCATTATTATCCTGGACAGATATTCTGAATGTTTGTGTGTAATATGAACTTTTGTTGGTCTCGTCCTTGCAGGCTCTCCTGCTGAACGAGGAGGACAGAGGGTTCTGCGGAGGAACCATCCTCAACGAATACATCATCCTGACCGCCGCCCACTGCATGAACCAATCACGATACATCTACATCAAGCTCGGTAAGTCAGACTAACCAACCAGCTCAACCACTCAATGCTGCCGTTCCGTGTGGCTGTGCGTTCAATAGGAGGCTGTAAATGTATTCAGTTTTTTTGCGCTTTCACACGTTTGATTTTGTGACTTTTTGCAGTTTAATTGGTGATGAACTGAACTCTTGGTTTGTAAATGTAAATCGCAGAAAAGTACTATTGTTTGTTTTGTAAAGCACGTTGAGCTTCATTTCCTCTAATAAAAATAGTTTGTTATTATTATCAGCTGTTATTAATTGTCCGATTATTACAGAAACTGCCCCGACTTAAATAATTATTATTTCTGTGCATTCAGGTGAGTTTGATGTGTTGGTGGATCATGGCAATGAAGTTACCCACCATGTGGAAACTATCATCACCCACAATAAATACAAGCCAGACACCTACCACAATGACATCGCACTCATCAAACTAGCCACGCCCATCAAGTTCACCAGGTTCATCCTGCCGGCCTGCATACCTGAGCAAGATTTTGCTGAAAAGGTGAAGGAAAATCTGCATTTTGATTTTTCAATGGAAAGAAAGTTACTGGTCTGGGTCAAGAAAACCTGAGAATTGTCGATGGGTTTTTGGACAAATGAAACAAATGAGTTGTTACGTAGTGAAACTTAGAGGCGCTGGTTACCTTCGGACAGAGCCGTGCTAGCTATTTCCCTCTGTTTCCAGTCCTTATGCTAAGCTAACTTAACTCGTACTTGCCATACACTGGAAGAATGGCATCAATCTTCTAACTCTCAGAAAGAATTGGTGCATTTCCCAAAAAACTGAACAATTGCTTTAAAACCACAGTTAAATTAATGTCTTACTTCTTCTTGCAGGTCCTGATGCGACAGCCGGATGGCATGGTCAGCGGTTTCGGTCGTCTCGGCGAGGGTCGGCAGCCGTCCACGATCTTGCAGCGCCTCACCGTCCCCTACGTGGATCGATTAACCTGCTTAGAATCCACCCAACTGCGAATCTCCGCCCGCATGTTCTGCGCCGGCTACGACCAAACAGCCAAGGATGCCTGCCAAGGTGACAGCGGCGGGCCGCACGTCACACGGTACCGCAACACCTATTTTGTCACCGGCATTGTGAGCTGGGGCGAAGGCTGTGCACGCAAAGGCAAATACGGCGTCTACACCCAGGTATCCAAGTACATCCGCTGGATCCGTGAAGGCATTGAAAGGCTGATGCCCAAAGAGAAGAGCGGCAACAGAGTGAAGAGGCACCACGGCGCCATCAAGAGGCTGGTTCTGTAACGCTGCGGATTTCACTCTTGATTTCCACTGAGCAGAGCTCGGCCACACTCTGTGCCTCTCATGTAATCCTCTATTTTATGTTTGAAACTTCTAAACAGGCACATTTAAGCCACAGAAACTTATAATTTGAGAAAATTTATTTTTATTTTATAGGACAAAACAGAAATTCTTAAAGATGCATTGATTCATATTTTGGTCACTTGGTGGCAACAGAACAATCTGTAGAAACAACATTCAATATTCATAATATCAGTTATTATTAAGTAGTTGAGGCTAACATGTTAGCAAACAGCTGCCTTTCACATCAGAGCAACACTGACATTGTTCATAATTACTTGTGGGGTTCCTCAGGGTTCTATTCTCGGGCCTTTATATTTTTACTTGTTAAAAGCTGCATAAAATAGATTTTTTTTGTCCACTTGGGGGCGACAGAACAAACTGTGAACCTCACATCTGACATATTATAAGCTTATAAAGTATTGTTATAAACATGTTAGCCAACAGTAGCCTGCATGTAAAAATAAAATGTACAAGAATAATAACATTAGCAATCTGATCTGATCACTGATGAACACTTCGTTTAGTATTAATAAAAAGTGTAAACCAAACAATGTACGTTTTCATGTATTTTTTAATCTGCCACTGCTTTTTGAGCTGAATTTAACAAATACTACAACAGTCCTGATTTTGACATTTCTTTGTGTGATTAAAACATAAACTTCATATGAATGTTTTCACTGTATGTGAAGTACATTGTATATTTACATTTATAATCATCTATTCTGGGGCTTTTGATTTTTTAGGTTAAACATCAAAGTTAATTACAGAAACAACAAGAATTAGTGATAGTAAATTGTAAAATTAACCATTTTGATAATCAATAAAAGTCATTAATTCAAAGGATTTTCTGCTTTTTCTTTGTTATATTATAGTTACAAGTAACATTTGAAGGACTCCATCAACTAATGAGGAGATGGTTGTAAGTGGACCTGATTTAAGGTTATTCTGTGTTTCTGGGTAGAACTAACCAAAGATATACTTCATGGCTAGTTTCGTTAGGAACTATGAGTGATCATATACATTTCCAGGGAATTACAGGTCAGTTATTGCTCAGGATAATTATTGTGGAAGCAGGAATTAAACTTAAACCCTTAAAACTTCTTGCTGCAGGGCTTCTTTAAGAACAATTCCAACAGTTCTGTCTGTTATTTGATCGGGATCATTTTAAATTATTAATCCCAGTGGTGAAATTCCTCCTTGTTTACCTTAAATAAACAACCTACTGAATAGTGAAGTTTCAGAGGTCGGAGTCGGTGCTTGTTTTGCAAGCTTTGAGGCCAGAGTCCACTGCAGGAACACAGCGTTTATTGAGAAGTGTTTTCTTTACTTTAACTCTGTGTGGGAACAGATCTGACTCCTGTGAAAAGACTGAAGAGTTAAAAGATCATGTTTTGTAAAAATGTGTATAATCGCAGAGCAAGTCAGTCTGTAAACTAACTGATTAAAACTTAATTATATTTCTATTGGTTTTACTGAAGCTTTTCAAACATTTTGAATTTTTTTAAATGAGTGCAACAGACTTAAACTTAGATTTAAACTCCGTCATTTTCCTGTTTAATGAACCGATTGTGAGTCATCAGTGTGCAGGTGTGTGTGTGTGTGTGGTCGCAGTGGAGTCAGTGTCATGGCGGTCAACATCATGTCGGCTCGCTGTCGAGCGTCCGTTCTGTTCCTCTACCTCCTCGGTTGCTTCCTTCAGGTCCTCGTCCAAGGAGAAGGTAAGACCTCTGACCTTTGACCCTCTGCAGCGTTTGCTTATAGTTTCATTTTAATCAGATCAGATATTAAAGATTGAGCTGGAAATGTATGGAGGTCAATTTGTGCCAAAAACACTTTGCATAACTCACCTTAATGTCAGGTTGTATTACACTCAGTATGTCGCAATTATGACTTAAATAAGTTTATAAACTTCATCAGAACTCATAATTCATACTTTTGGAGTAATTAGGTCATAATTTTAAATCAGTATGTTATAACTATAACAAAGTATGTCAAAATTACAACTTAGTAAAAACAATTATTACTTATTAAGGGAACATTATGATACATATGACAATATATTATAAATAAAGGCATAATTATGGTACAGTTAATTATAATGAATAACTTAGTAAATGATCAGTTAATATAAATATAGAATCCCGACTCAGTGTGGATAACTATTAATGTACATTAGTGAAAGGTATGATTATTATAATATAATGAATATAGTAATATAATATAAATAATACTTTTATATGCTTTATACTTATACTTAAGTGATTATTATTACACAACTTAGATATAGTAAGCATAACTAACACTACACTATGACTTTGTGATCAATATTTATGACTTTTAGGACTTATTTATGAATCGTTATTGTAGTAATAACGTATGACAATATATCACATTACATATGTGTCATGTTACATTATGTTTTTTCTGTGATTATGATTTAAATGAATGAATATTAAATTCATACACAGTCCGACTGCAGTGGTACATTTATTACTCCACTACACCGTCCAGAGAGAAGCAGGTATGTTTGTGGTAAAGTCGGTCTGGTGTTCGCAGTGTTTCAGGCTCCGCAGGCCCAACACGTGTTCCTGCGCTCCAGACGGGCCAACACGTTCCTGGTGGAGGAGATCCTGCAGGGGAACCTGGAGCGCGAGTGCTACGAGGAGCTGTGCAACTACGAGGAGGCCCGCGAGTACTTCGAAGACACCGCCAAGACGGTCAGACGCTCCCTGATAAAAATAATAATGATCGATATGTATAGATGATTATGGGAAATGATGCTGGTTGTGTTTTTGTCTCCGCAGATCGCCTTTTGGACCGTTTACTACGGTGAGTTTTCCTTCACATCAGCCTTAAACTGATCATTTAATCATGAGATCAATACATCTTTTCTGAGATATTGGTAATATGGACGACTGATATGATTGACAGGTTGGTAACATTCAGTCCTGGTTCTTGTGCTGGCAATTTGTTTATTAAGCTACAAAGTAATTGTCTTGGTTTTTTCTGTAAGGGTTTTATGTCAAGGTTCATCCATGAATGATTCTCAACGCAACCTCCACACTCGTATGTGAAAGTCCGAAAAGAGCCCGTTGGCGAAGCAGTATGGTTTATCCCTTGTTGGAGCGTCACTCTAACACGTTAACACTTTCCTGAGTTCTGGGACAGTAAAACAGACAGATAGTGTGGTGAGATGATCATGTCCTTGGCTTCTTAGTGAAGTCTCAACATCCCGCTGTTTACTTGGACATAGAGTGTAGTTAGAAACAGGGCTAAAGGTTGTATGCATATAATAGCCTCTTTAACAGTTGCGTATGGTTTTACAATGACCAGGTCAAAGGGTTGTATAGGTTCTTAAAAATTGCCATTACATTCTCTTGATTGTTCTTTCCCAACTGTTATTGATCCGCTGTATCTCGATCAGTCTGATTGATCGTCTGTGTGTCTCTGAACAGACGGGGACCAGTGCAAGCCGAACCCCTGCCTCCACGGAGGGAACTGCACTGACAAAGTGGGGGGGTACCACTGCTCCTGCGCCGCCCCCCACTACGGAACACTCTGTGAACTGGGAGCGCCTGGAGATGGAGGACAGCCGCCCTCCTCGCCACAAGCAGGTTGGACCACACCCACAGGTACGCCTTCACAGGGGGGCGGGGCCTATAGGCCTGAATCTCATGGTGCGTTCAGGGGCAACGCGGTACAACCTGCGGTTTCTGTGAACTCATTCTTTTCTGTCTGATCCAGAAATCTCAGAGTGTCTGACTGAAGGTCCGACAGCTTGTCACCAGCTGTGCACGGCGTCCTTCCACAACTTCACCTGCTCCTGCATGTCAGGATTCAAACTACAGACGGACAGACGGAGCTGCCTGCCTGAAGGTCTGACACACCCCCCAAAATCAGAAACACACAAACACGTTTACCAAACCAGTTCAAACTGGTTTAACGACCCCTCTCTGTGTCCGCAGTGGAGTTTCCCTGTGGAAGACTTCCTGACCAGTTCAACACGACTGCGTCAATGTGTCACCATGGAAACTGTCCCTGGCAGGTAAGATGCTCTCAGCCAATCACAGCCAGGTATCAGCTCACCCAGACATTAGTGATAACGAGTTAAAGTCTCAGACTCAGCTCCTGTTGTGCGTTTGTTTTCTGTCTCCAGGTGTCCCTGCAGAACTTCGACGGGGTGGAGCTGTGTAGTGGCGTGGTGCTGGGTCGATTCTCTGTCCTGACAGCCGCCCGCTGCCTCTCCCTGGACTCAGGATCTGATCCCCGACCCTCCAACTTCTACGTGGTCCCGGGTATTTAACTTTATGAACCAGACACACTTTTTATTCAGTATTTATCGTGGATAGTTTTGATATCTCGTCTGTCGTCTCCTAGGCAACGATAAGATGCGCGTCCCTGTCCAGGCTCTTTACGTCCACAACCGTTTCCGTCCAGATCACCACGACAACGACCTCGTCCTCCTCAAGCTGGCCCGTCCCTTGCACTTTAGCCCCGCCCTCATCCACCTCTGCCTGCCCACCAAAGACTTCAGTGAAAACATCCTGATGCATCCTGGGAGGATGGGAATCGCCGAGAGACGGGGGGTTAGTCGGACCCAAAAGCTGGTCTACATGACGCTGGACGAGTGTCGCAGTCAGCTAAATGTCTCGCATCCGCTCAGCAACAAAATGTTCTGCATGAGGAGCCCAAATGGACCTTTGGGGAACCAAAATAGAGTCCAGAGGAGCCTGAATGGACATTTAGGGAACCAAAATGGAGCCCAAGGAATGCAGAATCCATCTTTAGGGAACCAAAATGACCCCGGGGCCACCAATCCGATCTTTAGGGAACCAAAATGACACCCGGGGGAACCCAAATCGACCTTTAGGGAACCACAATGGTCCCAAGAAGAGGCTGGATGGACATACAATGAACCAGAATCCAAATAGAGCACCAGGGATGCCAAATGGAGCAGAAAACCGCGGCAGTTCAAAGAGTCAAGATCACGAGCACTCAGAAGGTGGTGGCAGTCTGAGGTCAGAGGTCAGAGGCCGGCAATGTGGCAGCCAGTTGCCAGGGACACCCGTTGCCACGGTGGATCGAGGGACGGCGTTTCTGACTGGGCTGCTGACGTCATCAGCTCCAGGCTGCAACAGCGGTCTGGTGTTCACCAAACTTTCCCGCTACCTGGCCTGGATCAAACCGCGGCTGGAGGACGCCGAGGACACCAAGGACCACATGACCCCCCAAGTCAGCCAGTACCCTGAGAGTCGCTAACAAGAGACCGCCATCTTTAAAAGTGTTTTTATCATCAAACTTCCTGTTAACTCAAAATCTCTTTAATGGAGCAAACTGCTGCTTTTATGCTTTTTAGTTCCTAAACTAGAAAAATCTTTAATGATACAAATAGTAACTGGTTAATACCTGTTCATCACCTGTTTATACCTGTTCATTGTCAGTTTATACCTGTTCATCAACGGTTTGTACCTGTGGTTCCAGTAGTAGTACCAGAGTCTGGTTCGAGAGAGGATTCAGCTAAAGCTGTTAGCATCAGAGAGATTTATAGTTTGGAACAATCTCACAATATGTTATATTCTGCCCAACTTCCTGTTTCCTAACCCGAGAGTAAAATGAAGGTGTTTTTGGGGTCTTTTATTGCAAGACATAATATAACTAACAATAAATCTATATTTTACCATTATATTGTAAAAATGTGTAACTGTATTGTTGATAAGGTATCAGGTATCGGTGAGTGTGTCCACCAGCACCAATCCGTTACCACTTAATTTATTAGCTATGAAACAGGATCCTACTACTTCCCAGCAGTGTCCTGTTTACCTTTATTTCCCAGGACAGTGAAGTCATTACCTGCCCGACCGGACATTCAACAGTGATAGCGATCATACAGGTTTAGCACTGTACACTAGTGTCTTTCACTATCAGCCTGGTAACTCGGTAAATTCCAGTATCAGGAAGGAAAAACTGGCATTGGAACATCTCTATTGTTGAAGTGATTAAATGTGAAAAACTGTTCAAACTTTGGCACTTAAATGTAATTTTAAAGTGGAATGTAACTTGAATTTTGCATCTTTTAAATATAAAATGATTTTTTTGTTTAAATATTTCCCAAATGTGAAGCCATCGATCATATTTACTGTCAGCAGTTTGTGTTTAAACTGTGCATATTTAAATTTCTCATTTCATGAAATTAAAGTGCTGAATTACTCACTGCCTAAAATAAGGACTCCAATACCCACAATGCACCTTCCAAAGCCTCCAGAGAACACAGAAGTCTTGTTTTAAATCCTGCAAACACGATTGGTTCAATAATGGATCCGATACACGCTGTACAAACCAGCATCTGTTTTATTCAACAATTTTTTACAGTACAAAATAAAAAAAAGAATGAATAGAATAGTTTTCCCTGTGGAGCGTGGCAGCCGGAGGGGATTGTGGGTAACGTAGTCTAGGAGACTGAGGACAGAGGAGGGAATGGATTCTGTTTACTGACCACAAGCTTCTGGTGCTGGTGGGAGATGTAACCTTTGATGTGACCCTGAGAGACACAAACCACAGAAGAAGAGCTGATTTATAAAACTCCTCAAACATCAGGATGTGAAACACACTGTATATACACTGATATTGATTCCGTATTGGCACTATTATTATACCGCAATGTACTTAATCAACAATGTTTTTTTAACTGTTCGATGGAATCTGTTCCATTAATTATTAAAACCAAAGTAAAACGTACTTCTTTAAGTATTAATGTTTCTGTAACCTATCAAACTACGTTCATTTCAAATGCTAATAAAAGCTGCTTCAATCTTTCTGATCTTAAACTGAGTGCGTGTTGATTAAAATAGTGTAAACTGGGCGTCAACGGATCGGCACGTATCAGCGCTTAGAAATGAGCCCCGGCTGTTTCTCCGTGTGTGTGCGTCCTCACCATGTAGATGAGGTTGGCCAGGATACACTGCACCTCGTCGATGTCCACGTCGTCCAGCTGCATCATCTTCAGAGACACCAGGAAGGCGTCCAGAGGCAGCTGGTGCGTCCGCAGCAGCAGATACCTGCACACACGGGAGGAGTGGAGGTGTGAAGACAAACCGGTTCAGGTTCAGACCGGACTGCGAGGCCGGACGGATCTGAACTCACACTTTCTTGAAGAGGTTCCTGTAGGTGATGATCTTCAGCTTCTCCAGGATGAGGAAGATCCCACAGCGGATGAAGAAGGTCTCGTGTTTGGCCAAAGCCTCGTTCAGCAGCAGCAGGTTCCCCTCGCTGACACACACACACACACACACACACACACACACACCTGTGAGAACACCTGACAGCACGCCACCGTGGCACCACCGCCTCCAACCCTCTGCTTACCTCACAGCCTTGGTGACGTCAGCGAACTGCATGAGGTCATACTTCCTCAGGAGCTGATGAGTCGGCATGTGACCCTGAAACAACAACAACCCGCCGTCATACTGGGATCTAAACTGGATCTAAACTGGGATTTAAACTGGTGTGGACTGCTTTCATTAACGGAGCAGAGGTTCTGACCAGCAGCATCTTGACGGGCAGCAGGTAGATGAGGATCATCCTCTTGTTCTTCTGACTGGAGCGATGGCAGTGGTGGAAGGCGTACGACAGAAACTCCTCGGCTGCAGACACAGAAAGAAAGAATCAGTCTACCTGCTGATAGTTTGAGCTTTCTTTCTCTCTTAGAAGAATAATATAAATATAATATACGATAATAATCTAATTATTGAGTCTACATTCTGGCCCTGGTTGTCCCTGAGTTAAACAGAGCAGCAGCTCTGGAGCGTACCCGGCTTGAAGTCGCTGTCGAACATGGCCTTGCGGCCCACGTAGTATTTGTAGGTGACTTTCTGAGCCGGACTGTAGTCGTTCTTCAGGTTGGAGCTGTCGATGGCTCGGATCAGAGGCTTACACAGGTGCAGCTTATTGATCTGATTCATCACAAAATCAAATCAGCAACAATTCAGACACACTCATTTCCTTTACGTTCACTTTGTACGTCCACAGACACACACACTGTCTCCGTCAGTGCTGAGAACCACAGAGAAAAGCTTCCCAGAATAAAGTTTACTGTAGTGCTGTTGTATTATCCTTCGGTGGCCGATCAATCAATAATAATCAACAGTTAGAGGCGGGTCCAGACCTTGAAGTAGATCTTGAAGAGCTGGTTGCTCAGAAACATCATCCCCCACTTCTTCGAGTCCTCGATCCCCGCACGACTGCGAACACAAGAGTTATGATACACGATGAAAACACAGACGAGCTGTGAGCAAACAGAAACGTAGAACTCTTCACAGGAAGTTAAACAGACTTCAGGTGAGTTTAAATAATGTGTGATGTCAAATAAAACCAGCATGAGTGAGGCTCTTAAAGGTGAACAGGTGAACTGACTTGTCGCTGGCACACACTCTGAAGCAGCTCATCAGCTGCTCGGCTGCTTTCTCCAACATCTCGCCCGGCTGACCTTTGCTCTTCTTCTGCAGCTGCTGCTCCGCCTGAACACACACACAGTTCATCATCATCATCATCATCATCATCATCATCGTCATCACCACCACAGATCAGTCTCTGCTGAGCTTTTCACGCAGGTTTCTTACATTGTTGGCAAATATCCTGAGATCCAGAGTGACAGCGAACATCACCGGCAGAGCCCTGAAAGCACAAACACACACTGATCACGCCGCCTTCACGGGCGCCGCCGCCTTCACGGGCTGCACACTGACTCACACTGCAGCAGTCAGACTAAAGGAGGTGGAATTATGAGTCTATTCTCCCACAATGCAATTGCAACAGGTGTTTCTGTAACTGTACAGCGACTCATCGGTTCACTCACACAAATCTTTATATTAAAGGAGGTTTTCAGTTGCTTTTGTTGAATTAACCATTAAAATACTAAACTAATGATTATCCCCACAGTCAGAATACAGCCATCATGAGGAGACTCATCCCTTCCTGTCACACTATCCTGTCCCTTCACCGATTAGTTGTGTGATCATTTATTGATCGGTAACATCAGGGTTGGGTCACCGATCCTGAAGCACACGCTGCTCTTTGAACACGGCTACAGAAATACAAATATAGTGTTTATCAGTGTAAACAGCAATA